TATATAATATTATGTATATATAATCTTTCTAAAACATTCTTCTTTTCTACGCATCTGCAGTGCACAACTCACCAGAAGCGATGATTCTAAGAAGCTCGGGCAGCGTTGCTATGGCAACCATCACGAAGATGAAACCGAATCTATCGTCTATGGAGAGTTGCGATATGTTGGGGAACGACGAGTTGTTCTGTAGTTGCAGGTCGATGTTGGAGAAAATCAGTCCGACGAACAAAGACAAGATGGCGACGAGCAGTAGCACCCAGGCCGTATCCAGGGACGCGACGCGGTAGCTCATCAACCTATGAGAGCGCAGCGCGAAAGCACGTGAATACGACGCCGACCAATGGCGCACCTAGCCTAAACATGGCGGCGCTTCTTCGCGATATCTCTAAATATCGCAAAAGAGCATTCCAGACGTCACGCATGATTGTTTTTAAAAATATTTTTATATGAAACGATCTTTTATGCGTATTTTTTTTAATAAGCAACGGCAACATGCACCAGAGCAGACGAATAAATTATTGTCGGTATCTGCACCGATCACAACGACCCGCCGACAACCGGTCACCTGATCAGAACGCTGAACTGCTGGAAGACGTTCGCTTGTTTATACATGGCGGGTGGCACGTGCGGCGGGCCGGGGTCGGCGAGCGGCAGGGTCGTCTGCGCGTGCAGCTCAGCTAGCTTGCGCACGCGCTCTGTAGATTCCTCTGTCGTCTGGATGGAATCGTAGTCGATCGTTATCAGATCCACTAGAAAAGAAATCGCAATGACGTCACTATGTTACTACTTGAGCTCGTCCCCCTGCTGCTCCCTCTGCCTCCTCCTCCTCCTCTTCCTCCTCCTCCTCCTCCTCCTCCTCCTCCTCCTCCTCCTCCTCCTCCTCCTCCTCCTCCTCCTCCCCTCCTGCTCTTTGTCTTCCTCCCCACCTCCTCCTCCTTCTTCTTCTTCCCCTCCTTCTCTTCCTTCTTCTCTTCTCCTCCTCTCCCTCCTTCCCCTCTTTCTCCCCACCTCCTGCTCATCCTCCTTCTCCTCGCCCTCCTCCTCCTCCTCCTTCCAAGCATAAAAATACATATAGAATAGTTACACTAGCCTAACTAGCATACGATATATATATGGCTCATGCACACGCACAAGCGTGCGACGCGCCTACGCGCGGGGTCTCACCATAGTAGTCGCACGGGTTGGTGAGAGGCGGGCACGGGTAGCGTATCGAGCTGAAGTACGGCATCAGGTTGCGGTTGCTGCCGAAATACAGCAGCTGTCCGTCCGAGATGAGAGCCACTGCAATAGTATACACGCACACTTATACACACGCTAACACACGCGATTAGCTGTGGCGATGACAGATATAGAGAAGAGGGAGGGAGGAAGAGAGCGAGAGAGA